TAGATGAGCCTAACCACTTTATCCCACTCCCGTTTGGAATGTAGATGGCATCGACGACGTCCTTCACCATCGTACGAGCGCGGATGGTGTCATTGGGTATGCGGTCTCGGAGCGTTACCCCGCACATGGCCCTCTCCATGGCTCGCTGAGTGACTGCGAGTTTCTCCTCTTCAGAGACTGTGGTGCTCCACGTCTCCGCCCCGTAGGTCATCGCGGGAAGAACATGCGAGTTGAAGACGTGAGCTTTGACCAGGGGTCTACGTGCTTAGAAGTTAGTACATCTCGGAAGCTTTATTGAAGCGGTCCAGCCCGCTCTGCGGCGTCGGCTAATCTCGAGCGTGAGATCGTTATTCATGTTGACCGCTTTACCGAGATATACGTAAGAGGAGACTCGCTCGATCTCCTGGCCTTCTAGGAGGATCGGCTGGTACTGAACTTGTTCGTTGTGCATCCACTGAGTCTTGCCGGGATGAATTTGTAGTCCGATTTTGCCGGCTTCCTGCCTGATGAGGCTCAGGGATTGCGCAATGTCGTGGGGACCTCGCTATCAGTAACACAATCATCAGCGAAGAGGAGATGCTAAGTGAACGTTATCGGACGTCAACGTCAACGAATGTTCACTCTTACAGGGCACGAGATTCGTTTCATGATGTTCTAGAGCGCAATTGCGAATAAGTTGTAAAACAAGGGTATATAAGCTCGCTTTGCCTGAAGCGAGCCGAATTCAAAGACGGACCGGTGTTTTGATGATGCGATGTCGGTGTAACACTTCGTGTTGCACTGCTGCGTGATTCCAATGTAGGGCTCTGCCGTTGCATTCACTCTCACACTGCACTGTGTCAAGCCATTCTGAGGTCGATAAACAGAAGGCACAGCTGAGGTGCGGTACTCGCGGCAACGTTCCGTCAGCTGTGATATTACATGAATATGGTCAATAGTGGAGAAGCATGAACGGAACCCGGCTTGTTCTACACTCATGTATTCGTCGATGCAACGGCGTATTCTGTTGAGGACAAGGCGGGAGAAGACCTTCAACACCTGGGACAGGAGACATATTGGGCGGAAATTGTTTAGAGCGTGCTGCGGTCCTTTTAGAGTAAGCAGCGTAGCTCCTCCTTACTTCTTACTTTTTCTTACTTCTCGACCGCTATTCGTCCCGGGCACGCCAGAAACGCAGGTCGCACATCTTCCAGGCCGCTCTGCTTCGGGCTCTTCTGCGCCACAACTGGCCGTACATCTTCACGAGAGGGTCTGCCCATCTGGTGGGGGGTCTGCCTCTGGGCCTTGTTTTTCCCCTTGGGTACCAGTCAGTCACTCTCTTCGTCCAGCGATCATCGGTAAGTCTAGCCACATGACCGGCCCACCTCCGCTTGGAATTATAGATGGCATCGACGACGTCCTTCACCATCGTACGAGCGCGGATGGTGTCATTGGGTATGCGGTCTCGGAGCGTTACCCCGCACATGGCCCTCTCCATGGCTCGCTGAGTGACTGCGAGTTTCTCCTCTTCAGAGACTGTGGTGCTCCACGTCTCCGCCCCGTAGGTCATCGCGGGAAGAACATGCGAGTTGAAGACGTGAGCTTTGACCCGGGGTCGACGTGCTTAGAAGTTAGTACATCTCGAAGTTTATTGAACGCGGTCCAGCCCGCTCTGCGGCGTCGGCTAATCTCGAGCGTGAGATCGTTATTCATGTTGACCGCTTTACCGAGATATACGTAAGAGGAGACTCGCTCGATCTCCTGGCCTTCTAGGAGGATCGGCTGGTACTGAACTTGTTCGTTGTGCATCCACTGAGTCTTGCCGGGATGAATTTGTAGTCCGATTTTGCCGGCTTCCTGCCTGATGAGGCTCAGGGATTGCGCAATGTCGGCGGGGTCCTCGCCTATCAGAACACAGTCATCAGCGAAGAGGAGATGCGTTAAGCGAACGCCGTCGATGTTCACTCCTCCGGGCAACGAGATTCGCCTCATGATGTTCTCGAGCGCAATAGCGAACAAGTTCGGGGACGTAACCTCGCCTTGTCTGACGCCGCGCCGGATTTGAACACGGACCGGTGTTTTTATGAGTTTGATATCGGTATAACAGCCCGTGTTGCACTGCCGCGTGATTCTAATATAGGGCTCGGGGATACCGCACTCGCGCATGGCGTTGTATACACTCTCATGCTCCACTGTGTCGAAGGCCTTTTTGAAATCGATAAACAGAAGACACAGTGGGGTGCGGTACTCGCGGCAACGTTCCGTCAGGAGACATATTGGGCGGAAGTTGTTAAGATCGTGCTGCGGTCCTTTCTTGTGAATGAGCAGCGTAGTAGAGCCCCTCCAAGCGCTCGGGATTACTCCTTCGCGCAATATGCGGTCGAACAACACGCGGAGAGGGTCCACTATCTCCTCAGCCAGCATGGAGAGACTCTCCACTCTCACACGATCTGGTCCCGGTGCCTTGCCCTTCTTCATCTGGCCAAGAGCAGCTAGCACTTCTGCTCGTAGGATCGGTGGGATACCTTTCTGACCCGCCAGATCGTTTTACGTTAGGCACCTTTACCTGACTGCCAATGGATACTTACTTGGACACTTGGATGCTCGTTGTCAGCCGATGATCCTCAGCGGCGAGCACACGCTTCCCTCCATTTTTGACGATCTTGAGCGGTTTGGGCCCAGTGTTGGCCCGCATCTTCTTGAAGTTTCTTCAGGGAGTCTCTCCATCGTGTTGCAGGACGGCCAAGTGTGCGCTTCACGTCTCGTGGATACCAGAACGTAACGCGTGTGGTCCACCGATCATCCATGCGTCTGACCACATGTCCGGCCCATCGTTTCTTTGCGTCCCACGTATACACTGCGGCGTCACGGATACCAGACATTAAGCGCATGTCTGTGCTGCGCAAGTTGCGGCTTCTCTGCTCCCGGCGGTTAATGTTCAGCAATGTCCGCTCCAGCGCTCTTTGTGCGCGAGTCAACATCATCGTAGACGTCTTGTTCTCCGCCCACGTCTCGGATGCGTAGCAGAGTGCGGGCAGTACCGTAGAGTCGAATAGGTCAGCTCGTATCTTCTTGTCCGAGATGAGCTGAGCCGCCTCTTTGATGCTTCCCATTGCCGTCCATGCGCATTTCTTGCGCCTCATGATCTCTGCGCGCAAGTTGTTGTCCACGGAGATGAGTCGACCGAGGTACACATAGCAGTCGGTGTCCGGGAGTGCGGCGCCTCCGAGTATGATAGGTGACGCATCTGCCCATTCGTTCCGCATGACCATTGTCTTGTTCCGGTTTATCGTGAGGCCAATGGCTCTGCCGACATCGTCCAACTCCTCCACCATCTGCTGTAGTTCCTTTTGGTCTTGACTGATGAGGACGATGTCGTCTGCGAAGCGTAAGTTAGACAACTTCTTGCCGTCGATGTCGATGCCTCTATCATCCCAGTCCAGCTGTAGCATCGCGTGGTTGAGGGCGGTGGTGAATAGCTTGGGAGAGACTGCCAATGAGCTTTCTGTGCTTTCTGTAAATGTTGCGAGGTTGCTCGGCCAATTCTTCTCGTTGATGTTACGGTGCCTGGCATGACCACAAAGTCTGGGTGAGTGGTCTTCAGTCTGATCTCCCGATAGGCCCTTTTGACGCTTGTCAATTCTTCGGCTGCTTCGCATGCTCTGCGGGCGGCGTATTCATGCTCTACCCGGGCACGGATTTCTTTATTGAAGGACGGTTTTTTCGATGTGGCTCATACTAGCAACTTTAGCTTTCCTCGTCCTCAGCAGCGTTTCGTAATGTCTCGGGAGTCAGAAGCGGTCGCGGTTTAGAGGTGACGCGTGTTGTGACCTTTGTTATGACGCGGTCAACCAACAGGTTTGTGTACTCGTCGTCAACGGTGACAAATATTCTAGCAGGAGAATTGACCTTCGTCCTGATTTCAGGCTGCTGGGCCATGGGTCTGAGCCGTTGCTTCGAATTATTCCGCGTATTTCAAACGTTGCCCTGAGCAACCTGTGGTCGGACACCGATATTGAGCCGCGACTCGTTGATGACCTTCACGTCTTCGGAAGTATCTGAAGCTCCACGCTAGGATATGATCCAGGATATGACCCGGTGGAGAATGTATGTAGTCAACACTTTCTGCCAGGAGCGACAGGGGTGGCGGTGGACCTGGGCTTTCCCAATGGAATAGATGCTCTTGGAGTGGAAAAAATTTTCAATGATAGCTTTTATTGCGACGAGATAACCAATGACCAATTAAGTGTGTTTAGGATGGAACTCGGATGTTCGACCTAAGCTGATTAATAAGCACTGAGCTTTTCATTCTTAATCATTTATTCAATTTTTTTTGAACGCTACGAAATAAACAAGAAATATGGAGCAAGATTAGATGCATTGTGTTCTTGACTGCAACACTTCCACGCTCTCCCGCTCCCCCAAAGTAGTTATGCACATTCCTTCCATGTTTGAAGAGGGGGCGCAATGGAGTTCGACAGCTGTTCAACGTCTGCACTGACGTGGGAGTGTGCTGAGTGCCGCATTGAGGTTGAAAATCGCACCCGTACGCAATGGGAATAGAAAAACCAATTGCAAAACATGGAGAACACTATGAAGCTTTCAGGCTCGTTTCGCTTTCCTAAAGTATTACTAAGCATATACGGTACAATGGCTGGAGACTGCTCCTGCGGAATTTTTGGAGTATAGGAAATCTTACTTCTTCGGAAGCCATGGCCCCTTCCAGTCAGAAAAGAGGATTGGAAGCTGTAAACTTCAAAATAATCTCTCCCCAGTGGTGGTTAAAAATTACTCGCTAAAGCATGTATTTCAAAAACGCAAGGATTTGGCTAAGTTACGCGGAGAGGTTCTTTTCATCTGATTGTCGCTTTCTTAGCGACCGCAGCTTCTCCCACAATTCAATTGCTAAGTGGATTGAAGCACAGGATATCTGGTGCGAGCCGTGTGCAGAAATGCGAAAGCCTCTTCAAAACGGGGTCTCGCATGCATGACCCCGATAGAGTAGGTAATTTCTTCAAGATTATTTTCCTGTTAAGGTAGATCCGACTGCTTCGGAGACATTCTTCGGTATTATCACTGCCGTCTTCTCTATCGGTCAAGCACTCGCATCACCGGCATTCGGATTTTGGATGAATCGCTCAAAATCAGGTTTGTTCTCACACAAGCATTGCCGAATAGTTCCAAATGATTCTTTGCCGCCTCAGCCAACATTTTTAACCGCCTAGAGGGGCTGTACTTCACTCAGCAGTGTCTATTCCAGGAGGTTCAACAACATTTGTTTGCTGAAGTTACACGCCGACGCGAGTCACACTTTTTCGTCTTTCTTTATAACTTGATAACTGTTTACGTTCTCCAAGGACAATTATACCATTAAACCCAGTCGAGGAAATCTATAAGTCTACGCTCCGAAATTTGTTCTATAAGTTTGCGCTCTGGGATTTTGGAAATTTTTGCTTTTCAACTCTATATTGCCTACAGCGTCATCAGCGAGAGTCGCTCGATCCTACTTACCACCAAGCGCTTCGTCTGTCGTCTGTCGTTCCACGTGTCTGTCCCGAAATTCTCTAGCTCCTGAAGATCCATTTAGGGGACCGAGTCTAGCGCGGGAAAGGTCAATCTGCAGCTGAACCTAATGCGAAACGAGTTCTTCCTAATGCCCCATTTCGCTCCGGAACAAACATCGTCGAATACCCCAGCTACGTGTCCCAGGAAGTGTCCCCTGATGAAGCTCCAGAGTAAGCAGAAGGAAGTGCTATGCAATCGCACAACAACACTGAGTGGACATCCGACGTCTTGCCCACCTCTTCGATCCTGTGATCCTTCCCTAAGGTACGCTTCAGAAACTCGGACTCGTTGCAGTCAGGACGAACATGCGTTCAGCGTCATTCAACGTGTGTAGTATGTGCATTGTTCGAAGTTGATAAGTGCAGATAGGAGTTCAGAGTGTCGAAGTCCTCTCTGCACTCAGCAACTCGTCCGTTAATACATTGACGCCCGCACTGATTTCGGCGCATGTCACACATGTGACATCGCTGGGTATGCATTACCTGCATGTACTATACCCAGCAATGCACAAGTCCCACATTCGGGACATTTTGTGGAATTTCTCTACAGGACCCATATATCTCGCTACAAGACCCATGTATTTCGCCACAGGACCCACACAATCTCAACTGCAACCTCCCCATTGGCTGGCAACGTATTGCTTTTGTCCTTTCTTTGTTCTACTTTTTCTCGTTTTTTCTTTCGCTTCTTACTATTTTTTTGCTCGGGTTCTCATCAGAAAATATATTCAATAACTGAGGCGCTGGTCGTGCAAATTGAACTTCTAAAAGTATAATGTGCATACCATGCGATGCTCAAATGTCAGATGTGGGAGTTTTGACGTGCATACTCGGCGACGCACGCGGGCTGCAATGTGTAAAACGAGGGCATACCGGCATTATCGCGAAAGAGCAGAAGACTATTGAGCTCCACATGTCACGCAGTTTTGTAAAGAACCGTCGGACCACAGCAGTTTGTAATTGAATCCTCGGAACGTTAGAGGAGCACTAGGGCGTCGCCAATCTCATGGTCAGTCTTTTTCACAAGAACTCTGAGGGAAAAGTCTGAAGAGCTTCGTATACCTCGAGCGAAAGTACCTACTGGAGTACTCCGGTACGCGAAAGGGACAAAAGGAGAAGTGCTGGTTTGATGTCTCCCGCAGGGCCGCACTCACTTTATCATTTTTTTGCGTTAGAGTTCTCTACAGTTCTAATTTTTGCATCGGTCGAGGTGGATGGGAAGCGTTGCAACGGGGGTCAATGGTTGTAGGCCCGTAAGGATTAGCGCCCTAATTTTGCGACGAAGCTGGAGTGATCTAGGTAGTATAGACCTTACAATTTCCTTCGCGGTATTCTTGCCACGAGTCCAACTAATCCCGAGGTTGCCTTCAAGGAAGCCATTTTACATCTGTTTTGGTATATGAACTAACTTACTTTGTCTCCGCTCTCATTGTTCATACTTTCGAGCTTACTAAAAGCGCGCCTTGCTGGAACGCTTGGGGTATATGTATATCGCGGCAAATGTGGCCGCAGAATCGCAATTAAAAAAATAGTTATCACACAGCCAAAAACAACGAAACTCACATTGTCGTCAGCATGACAATATTATGGGCCGTAAAGTTTGCTGATGAGTGGGATACTGCTTTCAATTCTCAACTCTTAGCCTCAGCCTTGAGAACGTTACTTATTGTATTCTGATATCCATAAAATTCGTTTTCAACTACTCTCAGTTGAGTTTTTCAGTGCGCCAACCGCTTATCTGTGGCATCATAATAATGATCTTCTCTAACATCGTTTTCTGCTTTGTGGAGGCGTTCAGGGAGAAGGAACGACGATGGGTGATGATGGTTGCAAGGTAAAACTTTTGCCCATAAAAGGTGTCGAATAAGTGTTCCGCAATTGCTGTGCCTCAAGAGGCTCTCAAAACGAGAGCTAGTGCGTCTATAGCGTCTGTTTTATAGAAGCTCGAGACTGCCACAAAGTTCACTAACGTGAAAATTGGCGACCAGTGCAGTTATTCTTCCACGTTCTTGAGAAAGCTTTCAGAGCCTTTACTACAGCTCCGAAACTTTTTTTTCTTTTTTGATCATTTTGTTTTAACATATTATTTCAACATTATGCAACATATTATTTCAAAACCATTTGGCGTCGCACGCGTTGCGTGCACAACATAGACCTGCCGGAAATTCTTCAAATTTGGCTTGATACACCACGAATATCTGACTTCTCAGCTAAATTCTATCCGCTCCATCATCGACGGCTTTCAACCTCTTTTTCTTCGTCAACCATTTTCTCCGGTCTCCGGACTGCTTCTGGACCGATTTATAAATCTCGTGCAAACTCCGCCTATTTCGGTGCAGCCCCACCCATCTTTTTCTTCCTCACCCACGTTTTTCCCGATCTCTAGAACTCCCTAGAAACACTTTACATGTCTGGCAACAAACTCCGCCCACTCTGGTGCGTGCTCCGCCACCAATAGCATTTGGCCTCCTTTCCTTTGCCAACCTCTATCTCTGGGTTTTCTTGGAACAGAATTGCGAAACTTTTGGCAAACTCCGCACACTTTGGTGCTTGCCTCGTCCACCAATGGCAAGTGACTTCCCCTACGTAATCAGCCTCAAACCACTCTTTTCCTGGTCTCCGGGACTCCTTGGAACCAAGTTAGTATGTTCCGTGAATCGCCCACATTGGTGCATGATGTTGACCTCATTCCCGTAGTCAAACTCTGTAGCCTTTTTTCCCGATTTCTAGGACTTTTTGGAACCGAGTTATAAATTTGGTAGCAAACTCCGCCCACTTTTGCAAGCGCTACGCCCACCTCACATTTAGCCTCTACTTCTTTCCTGACCTCTATACACTTTTTTCCAGCTTTCCATGGCTTCTTGGAACCGGATTATGGTGACCTGAAGGAACCGCTGTTTAAGGCACGCTCCATTGTGGGCGAGCCTCCGCTCACGTCATTAATGCTGGAAACACCTTAGGAATTGAAGAGAAAAGAGAGAAAGAGGGAGGGAAGGGGGAGAGGAGAAAGGGAGAGAGAACATGGCGCTGCCATGCGCCGGAGAGAAGGGGTATAAGGAGGTATAACACATTCAATAGTGAGGTGGTTAATTAGTACGTCATGCTGCTATTCCGTGGTTCATCCCTACCAGGGTGAATAACGGTCGAGGAAATCCTCGACCATAGCTCTCTACCATGCGAGAGTAGTGCCGAGAGTGAACATCCGCGCGGAGAGCACAGACGGCACGGCATGGCGAGTGTGAATGTCCGCGAGAGAGAGAGATCGTCTCTGATCGGGCAGAGAATCCTCGACGTGCCGTTGAGGAATCCTCAAGCGATATTCACCCTTCTCCCTACCCTGTAATGCGCGCGATAGCGGGCGGAGCAAACCTGGTGTTTTCATGAAACACCGCTTTTATAGAGAACACTCCGCCCACCGGAGGT